GCCCCGGCCCCACCCACGTCTGCTGCTGTGTCGAGGGGGCTCCTGTCTGCGCCGTCTCAGCCTGCCTCACAGGGAGGATTGGCCGGCTCCACCCTAATATACCCCTGGGCCACGGGACCCGACACCCACTTACCCGTACCAGTAGCGGGGGTCGCTGGAGATACAGTGGTTGAGGCCGCGGTGGGCCAGCGCTTTCTTCTTGTTGAGCACGAACTCCTGCAGTTTCATTTTCACCTCTGTGCTAGCCACGGCACCTGCAGGGGAGGAAGGAAGCAGGGGTGAAGGAAGGGCCTGGGGACCCCGAAGCTCCCTGGGGACACTGCCCAGGCCTGAGGGCTCTGAAGGAAGGGGCAGGCAGAGGCTCTAGTGAGAACCCCCCCCCCCATGACCACACACACATGGGGATTAAATGAGGATTCTGTCACTGGAAGCCTCCTGGCTGGGAAGGCCAAGGCCTAGGGGGAGTGTCCACCCACACAGAGGGCACCCTGTGTCAGGTCTGCTGGCACCACCATGCACACCAGAACCAGAGCGTCACGACCCCGGGACAGGCACTTTTAGGCACCTGTGTGGATGAGCCAGCTGCCACCCGAGGGACTCCTCTGTCCCCTCTAGCCTGGCGGCCCTGACTCGGCACACAGATCTCGCTGCACCACCTTCTGCACAAAAAGGGAAACTGCATTTTGTGATTTTCTTGTCTCTAAAGACCCACTGTCGAAAAGCAGCCCATTTCAGTAACAGTAAAACCGCCCAAACTCACCACTTGGATACGAGGCCTGCTGGCTGGTCTGCACACAGAGCGCACTCACGTCCACCCTGCCAGGCGGTCTCGGGTCTGCCCTGGCAGCAAGCGCTGCTCCAGCCCTGGGGGCAGGTCACCATTTATACAAAGCCGTTTCCGGCTCTGGAGGCGTCCCACTGTTGTCAGAAACCGGCTGCTGTAGACATTTACTGCGGGAGGCACTGCCCATGTCTGAAGTCACCTGCTCAGGAGGGTGGCAGAAGGACCACAGCTAACCGGTTGACACCGTGGCCCTGAGACGTGTCCTGAGGCTTTCTAGGATGTGCGCCACACCGAGCCCCAGGCCGGGCCGTGGTGGGGTCGGAGCGCTGACCCGGGACCTTCCTGCGCAGGTTAGCCCGGTATTAACCTGGCCTCACGCCCCGAGACACAGGTGGTACTGAGACACAGTGGGCACAGCAGTCCTTCTCCCTGCCCGCAGGAGCGCGGGCACCTGGCACGTGGTGGGCTGGTGTCCCTGTGTTCGGGCTCCACCCTGGCAGGCACACGGTGTGGAGGTTGCAGCCAGGCCTGGCCTACCCCCGCAGCCATAACTGCTGAGACGCCCACAGCAATTCGTCACTCCGGCCTCATGGACAAGGGCTGCCCAGTGTCCACGCCCCACCCGGCACAGGCCTGGCCAGCAGAAAACACGGACGACTGCGAGCCCCGTGCTCCAGCCTCCTTCCAGCACAAAGCGAGCCTCCCTCTGTCGGGACCTCACTGTGAGAGGACTGAGCAAGGCAGAGTCTGACTCTCATCCTGCCTCCCCACATCAGGTCACAACTCACCCTTTAAACCAAGTTCCCAAATCAAGATGCCCCGAGCAAGCGGACAGCAGGTGTGGCCGAATTACCCTGTAATGTCTACCTCTCACTAACGTGCCTGAGCCGCCAGCCCCGTGGGGAAGACTCCGCGGTTTCTGTAGCAGCAGGAGCGGGCAGAGCACCATGGGCAGCTCCACAGACACCTGGGCTGGCCTTGGCACTGTCTTGACGCAGTGGTGACACGGTTTGCTAACAGGGTCCATGCACTCTCTGGAGTGGGGGCAGTTTAGTGAGAAAGTGCCCTATGGGGGGGCGCCCACACTGCAACCCCTTCTCCTCCATTCTCCTCTCGTGACTTTGGGCAGACACACATGTGCCCAGTGTTAATTTTTCAAGTCACTGGTTCAGGACTTGAACCATGCAGTTGGCCATGTGGGAGCCAACACCTTAACCGTCACATCAGCTGTTGTGCCTTTCTGTGTTATTTTAAACAAAGGAAAGACTCTCTTGAGGTGACTGCTGCAACACCCAGCCGGAGCTGTGCTGGTAGAAATGTGAGAACAGGAGGCCCGTGGCACTAGTCCACATGGCGGGCCTGCCGTGGCACCAGTTCACACAGCTGCACGTGGCCCGCCGTGGCACCAGTCCACATGGCTGCACGTGGCCCACCGTGGCACCAGTCCACAAGGTTGCACACGGCCCGCTGTGGCACCAGTCCACACGGCTGCATGCGCCCTGCCTGCTCCTGGACTGTCCTGAGTTGATGGAAAGAGGCACACACCTCACGGGGCCAGCAGGTGGCATGGTAGTTAAGGCCCTGAACTCACACAAGGCTGACTGTGGTCCATGTTCCAGAGCCGGTAGCTTGAAACTCACACTGGGCGTGTGTCAGAGCGTGCCCAAAGTCCCAGGAAGAGTCTGAAGCAGCAGCTGTGGTGAGGCCGGTCCTGGGAGGGTGACTCCTAACTGTCCCTCTCTCTGTCTCTCTGGTAAGGGCACCTGCCCTATGGCGAAAGCCTGAAAGCTGGCACACCTCGTCCCAGGTGTCGTCAGCCTACATGAACACCTGACGCACTAAACGGTGAGCTCAAGCCACGCGTGATGAAAGCGCCCACGTTCTCAGACTCACGGTTCTGTCAAATGAACAGCATCATTTGGTGTCAGTGAAGAAGACTGCAGAATTATTTAAAATGAAATTTTCTATAAATGTCTATAAGCACAGGAAACTTTTTATTTAATATTCCGTAAGAAATGCATTAAAATAAAAAAATAAAAAACAAGAAATTAAACAGATGCTTGCACTACATCTCCGTGCTCGGAGCCCGGATGGGCCGGGTGCCACCTGTACTTGCCCCACGAGCGTGCCAAGTTGGCATGGACAAGAGCCTCCTTACCTGGGGAGGGTGCCGAGCACTGGGCCTGGTGGCACCCACCACTGTGGCCGCTGGCCTGCCTGCACACAAGATCACACTTCTAGGGCTTGAGACCACATGGGCTCGCCCAACCCCAGATTAATACTAGCACCTGAACATCCACAGCCACGGCGTGACGGCCACTGGGGCTGCCCCTGTGCCGAGGAGGGAGAGGCGAAGGCAAAAGACATTCCAGCCCCTGGGAAGGGGCGGCCCTCAGCACGGCCTCTGCCTCGTAAACGTGCCCAGAACGACTCCTGAAGTCAGACCTTGCACCTCCGTGAACCTTGGGGTGTGGTTTCTATCAGAAGAGTCTGGGCAGGTCTGAGGAAGTGGTTTAGACTAAGCTTTTCAGTGATCAGAAAGAACCATTATTTGTTGGTTAGCTGTGGCAAAAATCAAGGAGCTGATATTTAAACTTTAACCCTTTGATGAACAATTGTTTTCCCTACTGCAGACCAGGACGGGTACACAGGGTGCTAGAGGGAGGTGCAGAGGTGCCGAAAGGGAGCGGATCGGGGAGGGGCAGGCTGTGAGTGCTGGCCAGCACGTGCTGGGGTGGGAGCAGTGCAGGACTTCTGCAGCAGCACCCTCCGGGACGGGCCAGACAACCAGGGCCAACTGCCTGTCCGTCCGTCCGAAGGCAATGTGAGGACCCGGCAGAGGGGCAAGAAGCTGCCCCAGCTCACAGAGCCGCCGTCCCCACTGGGCTCTGCCTTCCGGCCGTGGACTGCTGCTAGGGCCAGGACCAGAGCCGCAGAGCCGCCGTCCCCACTGGGCTCTGCCTTCCAGCCCCGGACAGCTGCTAGGGCCAGGACCAGAGCCGCAACAACTGGGTTCCCTGAGGGGAAGGAAAGGACCCCAGGAAACTTCACGGGCTGTGGGTAGAAGACCAAAAGGCAACACCTTACAGGTAAGGATGGGGAGAAGTAAAAGAGCCTTCCAAGGGCCGAGCCCCAAGTCTGAACCTGCTCAGAGCCTTAACGGATTGAGAAGGTTTGGAAATTTAATGGCTCTGGGACCCGCAGTTAGTGTAATGTCTATGTCGCTAGACTCCTATGTAGTCAACTGTGGTTCGAGTCCTGGACCCGGTGGCTTAAACTCACGCCGGGTGCGTGTGTGTACACGCCCAAGATCCTGAGAAGAAAATGGAGAAGAAGGGATTGCAACATGGCCATCCTCTCTGGGGGGTGATTTCTCGCTTCTGTCTGTCTGTCTGGTGAGTGCACGCGCCCTGTAGCAAAAAAACCTCTCCAAAAAAAAAAAAAAAGTTTAATGGCTCTGGTCAGATTTAAGAAACAAAACAAAATCTGTTCTTGTTTTAAAGATTATTTTAATTAATTAATTATTCCATTTAACCAGAGAGTAACACAGAGAAAGAGAGAACCAGAGAAAGCAAGCCACCAGGACCAGTACTTGAACCATGGTTGGCCGCGTGGGAGTCCAGCGCCTTGACCACCACGCCACCTACTGGCCCCATGATATATTCTAAAGGAATACATCATCACCATGGGTCCCACATAGTTCCAACAGCTTCTTACACACCAAGCGTGATGTGAGCTCAGCATCCAGGTACATGTAGTACATGTAGTGATGACAACTTGACCGAGAGAGCAGAGAGGAGAGGCAGGACAACCCAGGCACAGGGCCCTCAGTGCATGGCCCGTTGGACACTGAAATGACCATGCCACGTGCAAACGAAAAACGAGATCAACAGCCCTAAGTGAAATGATGACAAGAGCCAAATGCAAATCCTAGAACTGAAAATCTACTAAAATTCAATGAATGAAGGGGAACCAGCAGTTAGCGTAATGGCTATGTCGCTGGATTCCCACGTAGTCGACCGTGGTTCATGTCCTGGACCCGGTGGCTTAGAACTCACGCCGGGCGTGTGTGCATGCGTGCCCAAGATCCTGAGAGGAGAATGGAGGAGAAGGGATTGCGGCGTGGCCATCCCCCCTTGGGGGTGATTTCCCGCTTTCTGTCTCTCTGTCTCTCTCTGTCTGTCTGGCGAGCGCACGTGCCCTATAGCGAAAACCTCTCAAAAAAAAAAAATTCAATGAATGAATTTAACAACAGATTATTCTGAGTGAAGTAGGTTATGATTTGCTAGATTAAAGTTTGAAAATGTGGTATGTGTGGTAAATCTACTATTTGAAATCTAGTGATCTTTGATATGCTTAGAAATTTGGTAACAGTGGTTTTTACCTTTCATTCCAAAGCCAATTATGAATTTGTATTAGTCTTTTGGATGTTAATTTTTCTATAAAAGCTTCTTAGGTAGAAAGCTCAAA